CCTCTGTTGTGCATAGTTTGGAATATTACCTAAAATTTGAAAAATTAATTGCCAACCAATTTCTAACTTTTACTTATCTTAGATAACAAGTTTCCAACTGCCAACTACACTCAAAAGCAAAACACTTTCTCAAATTTCTCTCTCTCTCTCAATCATTCTGTTTTAGATGTAAATTAGAACATACCATATACACCATTTAATGGCTTAAAACAATAAATAGCAAAGCTCTTTTACATTTTTCATACTTATTTCTTGTCGTTTAAGAAGAAAAAAACATCAATTTTAAAATAAATATCATTTGAGCTTTTTTATAATATTAATTATTGTTTTTATTTATTATCCTAATAATATGGATATATATATATATATATTGTATAATTAATTTTAAAAAATAAAAAAAATATTTTGTTTTTTATACTTACTTATTTCTTCATTAATTACGTATTATGTTTTTTTTATGTATTTTTACTATTTTTTAAATATAAATTATACTAATTAATTTTTCTTTAAATTATAATGCTTTTATTTAAAAAAAAATTATAAAAAATATTCCATATATGATTATAAATTATAGATAATAGATACTAAAAAGGGAAAAAAATTAATTATCATAATGTTAATTTTGTAAACAAAAAAAATTGGCAAAAAAAAAAACTTAGGACAACGTTATAGAGTATATTAAATAAGATTGTTATTAGAGAATTAATAATCATTATGATAAATAATTTGTTCCAGCACCTTCAGAAATCCCTTCAAAAGATAAGGTGAAGAGTAACTTACCTTATTCTTCAATTCGCGGATGCATCTCATAAATGGCATTAAGAATATGTAGCCAATTTGACGTATTGGGATTCTTTCAACAAAAATAACAAGTGCATTAGGGTTATTCTTTTTTAAATCTTTGGTTTGCTCTTTTTGAGATCTTAGGGGTACAAATAACTGCAACTGGCCCTGAGAAATTTGGGAATCTTCTCTTTACCACATGTGATATATGAAGGGGCACTTAAGAAAAAGTGTAAATGTTATACCAAGAGACAAAAGCAATGAAGATTATGGCAATTGGAATAGCATCACCTCCCAAATTGAAGGCTACCTACAACCTGCAATGGTTTAGATTTGACCAAGATCTAGTGGGTGTGGCCACAGGCAACAAATTGTAAATGAAAATCAAACTAGGAATGTACAAGTACATGGTAAAGTAGTCTTTGATCTTGGACCAAAAATAATGAGAAGAAGGGACCCTTAAGTTTGATTCCAAATTGACACCAGATCATGGAAAAGTCACTTGCCCTACAACTTCCCATGCCATGTGGAAAGTAGATGGCAACGTTTATAATTACTACGATGATGACTACTTGGTGAGTCATTGGTTCAAGTTTGAACGAAAATTAAACTGAATTCACAGTAAAAATTTGGAAATTTTGGACTGTAAGGGACCCAAAAACTTGATTGCAAAATTGGAACCAACTTAGAGATACTAATCATTTTCCATTGGGCTTGGTTTGTGTAATTGTAAGTGGTGGACAGTAATGATAGTTTGTATTATGATTTATGAAGGCAACAGCAAGAATCCAACTGACTTTTTGTGTCTTGGGGTCTGTTCGATACTAATGAATATCTGAAACCTAACTCATGTAAACTGTTTTTTATAAATTTTCCATTCATCTTAAGGATTTGATTTTTCACTTCACCCTTCTTTGACCAAGATAATTAAATGGTTTGTTGTTTCATACCAATGGCCACAAAGAAAAGTTCACTAAACAAGCTGTGAAATGTGATCTCAATGCTGATGGGATATACAAATATGAGTGGCCACAGCAGTAATAAATAAACAGCATAGAGAGATTCCAAAAGGGGACTGACCTAAAAGCAATAACAATTTTTGTTTTCTTGCTTGAAGAAGAGGCAAACCAAACGCTTGAATGGATTGTCTAGCTGCTATGTTTGTGTGAATATCTGAGAAGGAGATCATCAAGATTGTTTGAGGAATTTTGAGTCATCTATAAAGCCGGCTAGAGAAAAAGAATTGACTCTTGAATACAAGTTCAAGCTAAGTATTTGACTGCTACTTTTTTTCTAGCTACATAAAATACAGAGTGCTTCACTTCGTGGTGGTGACTAATCACTCTTTAATTTCAAAAGGAAAGTTGAATTGGCCCCTAGAAATTATGAAAAGAAGACACATGATAGGGATCAATTAACAACTAAGATTTGAACAGTGCAAGCATGGCTACACACACGGCTAAGATTATTTTTAGCTCTGAAATCAAAATCATGGTATTTTGAAACTTTAAAAAAAATATAATTAAAAACAAGAAAACAAAGTGGTTTGCTGGCATGGCTGGTGAGAGAGAACGAAATTAGTGGAGAGTTAGGAATTTGAAATAGTAATCTATGATTGATGGTAAATTCTTTTCACAAATCCTCGTAACAAATTCTAATTATTTCAAACAGAAAGTGCACACGTGTTTAATATACCTTGGAAACATGTGTTTAATAATATTTTTTTCAAGTACTTAAGAGACTATTTACTGGTTCTTTGAGCAGATATAAAATTAGTTTTGGAAGCAAAGTGGGGTTTGAGTCTAGTAAGTGGATCCACTCACAATAAAGCTTACTACCATCAAAAGTCAAGCACGAATGAAAAAGCAAAGAGTGGGTGCCCATGTTTTAAAGTACATATTGACTCTCTGACATTCATATCCTTTGTATTTCAATCAGATATCTTCTGCGGACACTATTCAGTATTGAATTTCCCTAAAATGCCTTTGAGAGCTAATATAATATGTAGTGTAGTGTCTGCATATGGTAAAAATAAACTGAAATTTGGCCAAGACAAGATAGAAATCTCAAATTTCAGTATGAGCATATAATAAACTAAGTACTGCTTAAATAGTAGAAAAAGAGAATGAGATAACCAAATTAGGTTAGGGGCCTCAAAACTTCATGCCCACATAAAACCAGTATAAGAAAAAGAGGGTAAAAAAGTACGGTTAGGCCAGGTCTATCCTGGCTAGTGTTGGATTAAGATTCAAGAAATGGTTAAGAAATTAGGTTAAGATTTAGATTCAAACCAACTAAATGTTTTTTAATGAGCATAGTACTGTTTTTTCTTCATGAGTTTCTATATTGCAACTTTTGATGCTTTATAAATAAAAAAGTAAGAAGCAAATGGATAATGAAAAGATGATGTGATGATAACATTTCTTAGTTCTCAATCATCAACTATTTAAAACAATGGTCAGAGACTAACTTCTCCACTAGTTTTCTATAGAGCCCTTTGGACCCTCTAAGCCATTTCATCAAATCCTGAATCTTGTGAGCATGGAGCTTTGTTGGCAAGCATCCATCCATGGTTCTTAAAGAAGCATGGAGAGAAAGGAGAGTGAGAGGGTCCTTAGCCCTCACACTCCCCGCTTTCAACAGTTTGCTTGTGCTTAGCTTTGGCTTCTCTAATCAACAAGGGATGTGTTGAAACATTCTGTGAGTGGCAGAAGCAGATATGCATTCTTCAAAGGAGGGGAGGCTTTGGCTACAGTCAGGCAAACCGGCAAGTCACAAAAAGGCAATGGACTCCATTGGGGTCTCTATGGCTATGTATTGCTCATCTATGTAGTTCTTCTTGCTGTAGAATGTAATAAACAAAGTTGACCTTCCTTTAAGAAGGTACCAACTTGTGCTGTCCCGATTACTCAATTTGCAGCTGACTAGATTTCCTTTCTCTCTTCAGTTTCTGCAGATGAGTAGGTAGGTAGTTGTGATCACTCCATTCCATTTCTGTCCTCCCATTCTGTGTGTTTTCCTTTCCATGCTTGTTTGTGTTGTTAGTTATGACCTTGTGAGAAATAAAAGAAGAGTACAATTGTAGTTCCTCAAAGTTTACGATTGTATTTTATTGCTTTATTAGAAAAGCTTCAGAGTCCTCTTTCTTAGGTAGATAGAGTGAATGATGATCCTGTCCCATGACCCCTCACCCTTTCCCTTTTATACTGCTGTATTTCTAATTTTTCTAACATTTGAAGTTGTTCAGGGGACTCAATGGTATCTAGTTTATCCTCTTTATATGAAAAAGGCTTCCTAGCAAACAAATATTCCATGTCCCAAAAGTAATAGAAAAGAGAAATGAACTTCCTAGGCAGGAAAGATTTTACGTAGACACCTATTATATACAAATGTGAGTAATTTTAAAAGTACATATATTTTTAAGAGATACTTTTGCATACAACAATTATTGATTTTAGTATATTTGATAAGCCATGATTGATCAAAATTTATTAAAGTCAATAGTCAAAATCATTTCATTCAAGTCCACGTTTCTGGTTATGTCTCCCTTGTATATATTGTTTATACGTTGAGCGAAATTTTGGTAGTTCAATAGGGGAACAAATCACCATGTCATATGAAACATGTTTGAAGGTTGCGAGGTTACTTATGATAGCAGTAGCAGATGTCTATTTAGCTTTATTTCTACTCTTTCATTGGCTCAATGAAAAATATCAAGTACAGGTTAAAAGTACTGCCCATGTTGAAAAGGTGCAACCTATTCCATCTCATACTAACACCACAATGGAAGCAGGTTCGCAGTGCAATTGCAATAGGCAGAAGATTGATGGGTTAAAATAGATAAATAGATAGCCCATTCATTTTAAATAACAGTTGTTTCATTGTATCATTTACAACCACGCGTCCCAAGCATCATAAGGAATCATTTTCACAAATTTGATCCTTCATTTTCAACTAATAAGACAAAGAATCGAATGAAACTTTCAATCTACAAATTTGACAGCTTTCGTGGTATTCATTATGACAATTGTGCAAGTCAGTGGATGTATACAGAAAATACACAAACTTGTCACTAATCAATCATCTTCAGCACAAACTATAACTCAAAAGACACCCTTTCTGATGGACACCTACACGTGGGAAATCAACGAATATACATGTGTTGAATATGTATAAAGAATCAAAGATCATATTGGAATGATTTTGAGGAGTTTTGGTCAACTTTTCCAATGGCCTTTACCATATTTCAATAGAGAAGCATACAGTAATTCATTCCAAGTATCAGGTACTCCAGGCAAACACCAATGACTACAATCTTGGTGTAGTTCAGCAGAGGCATGCTCCTCTACTGTCTTATACTCCCTTCTGTATATAGAGGGATGTCCATCTTTTCTGTAATCTGTAAGCCTACTAATGTTCATATATATCACTGGAGTTTTCATCTTTGGTAGGACGACATGCTCTAAAGCCCTCATTTTCGAGGGATATTTGCGCAAGTGTTTTCCATCAGATATTGGCTCAGTTTCTTTGTGGCAATGTCCTCCCGAATTCCATTGCCCACCCCTGAAACCATGTCAGGCAGTTTAGAACATATTGATCAAGGCATACCATATGAATGTGAATCAGCATACCCTAAAGTGTGAATCAGCATACCCTAAAGTGTGAATCATTTTCTTACAATTTTTGTTGTAAGAAATATAAATATGTATAACACGTTACTAATATGACAGTAAACTTTGTATAATGTATATAATTACTAATCTAGACTATGGTACAAAAAAGCTATAAATATAATAAGAGTAAATGATTTTCTAAAATTGTCATCTATTAAGCTGACAATACAATATCAATATTTAAGGTGAACGCGCACAAACAATGCGATTTTTCCGAACAATTCCTGAGAAGGTATTAAACCATTATACAACATTTGTTAAAGCAATTTGTTGTGTTTATCCCACTCCATTGCATAATTTATTGTATATTATATTTCAAACATTAGCAAGTTCAGACTCATGACATTTGGCAGCCATGTAAAAGACCAATACCTGAAATGGGTGACTGAGTATCCTTTGAAGAAAACCTGAGTTTGATTGGCATCAATATTGTTGTCAATCCATCTAGCCCAAGTGGTCAATGCCCTTGTATATGCATCCAGAACTTTGAGTCTGGGGTATATGTGATTGCCTTCTTGATAATAGTCTTCACTGTAGCAATACCAGATAACATAAAAATAAAAAACCTTACTTATTGCTTATGAGGATTACAAATGGTAAAACTATATAATAATATCTTGGTTAAAAAAAATCTCAAGTGACATGGTATGCAATAACTTAATTAATTATCATGCAGAGAGTTTGTTATAATTTGGACAATATGCAATAGAAGGCAGAAAATTCAAGGTGTGAAGAAAAGATATTAAAATCTTGATAGGAAAAGCAGTTTCACGTGACAAAAGTAAGCATGTGTATTCAGAATGTTGGATCAAACATCATGCTAAAACTTTGTTGCTATTCATCATCAAGTAACACCACCTAATCTATAGATTTCAAAGGTCACTGGAAGGATAGAATCATAGATGCATAGACAATGTGAAAATGTTACATAACAAACAGACTGAACTCACCCCCTAGAGGTTTTCTCGTGGGTCCACCAATGGCCTGTATTGAAGACTATGATGTCAGCATCATGATAGGTGGTAGTTGTCTGATCCATCAAATCCAATCTTAATGTCTCAAAGGACCCATTTGTGCCCTTGAAAGTTGACTCTTGAACAATGAATGGTGAACTAACAAAATCTACTGAACAATTATAATCCTATAAATATAGCATAAAAGAAAAAATCAATGAGATATCATTACAAGATGTATACTGGGGGAAATCTAATGGATATACATAAACTTGCCTCAAATCTAAAAGCATAAACACCCTTCTTCTTAAATTCCGTTTTTCCAGAAATTTCAAAAACATGTTTCTTGTCACTGACACTTTGACGCAGGATACACACCAAGGACTCCCACATGTTTCTGTTCAGCGAATCCCCCACAAAAACCAGCTTCTGTCCACGCAACTTTTCCAGAAAATCAGTTGCATTCAAACTGAGGTGACATCAAGAATTAACAAAATTAGCAAAAGCATTGATACATGATGTGTGTTAGATTTCAACTTAAAATCAATTGATATTAAATAAAGTTGTCCAACAAATATGCATCACTCCAAAAAAAAAAAATTGAAGTGAGGTGACACCAATAATTACAAACATAAGCAATAAGCATTTATATATTGTATGGTTTAAAATGACTGTCACTAGTTAGATAATTGAAGTGACTGCAAACCAAAATTAAGGTTAAAACACTGAACTACACTAAATGTAAGAAAAATAAACTAGACTGTAAAGATTCCTAATCACCCACCTCCCCACTTGAGTTTCACAGACTATGAATGCAGATTATTCCATATTAGCTTGTATATCATTAGATCCCTTAATCCAGGATGTTAAATCATATAACCCTAGCCCTACTCACCATTTTTATTACTCCAAAAGAAGAGTTTTAAAACTAGAAAATGGTTATGGAACAGTTCCCCTTGTTCAATTTAAAAATGGGAAGGAAGTGTATGATAAACAATTCCCCCTCAAGCTAATTTTTGGTCCTATCCAACTGATGGATAACGAAGGGGAAGGGGAACAACTTTTTTTTCAATTTAAAATCTTGTCATATGCTACCCATAAATTGAACTACTTAATTATTTTTTAAAAACAACGCTTACATCGTAATTTCCTACTAGAAAACAAACTTTGTGGTCCTTGACAATGTACTCACAATTTTGTCCCATATATAAGATATAGCATGGTTCAATCGCAAATGTTCAAACTTGTTTAACTTACTCCTTCAGCTATCTCATGAGGAGTAATGTCAAATGACTTTATAATATAAAGACAGAATTGTTCACATCAATGTAATGAGGCACATTTCCGTGGACCAAAGTACTATTTTGATAACTTGACACCTATAAGCCTTTACCTCTCCCATCTCCCCTTAATAAAAATCCATACAGGTGAAGTGTAACTCTTTTTCCCTTCTATCCGTTCTTCTCTATATTGTCTTATTCTCTTTCCTCTACATTTTCCTCATCCCGCATTCAAAATAAGGTGGACCTTATTTCATCCTTCAATGTTGGTAGTTTATGTTTTCTATCCTTCATACAAAATTGTTCGCTGGCAAGATTTCTTACATCTTTTAACTATCAATATTAAAATCAGATAGAACCTCCCACACGCCACATTCACAATAACACATACAATTTGAATTTCCACAAATATTTTTACCCATTCTAAATCTACAACATTTCTCAATTATTGTTAATGAAAAAATAGCAAGATGCATTATCATACCTTGGAATGTCACACCCATTCGGCTGCCATTTCCACTTCACATACTCACTATCAGGCCTCCCATTCAGATGGCAATCAAAATTCCTATCAATGAAGGGACAAGACCCCAAGGGATAATATGGTTTCGACTCATCCCTCACCCATTTCCCATCAAAGATGTCACACTCCCCAAACAAATTACCAACACTAACAACACTATCATTACTTTCCTTAACCAACCCTTCTTCACACTTTCCCACACCATCATCACCACCATTGCATGACGAATTTCCTACGTGCCCATTTTCCTTACCTGACTCAGTAACATTCTTCAAAGCACAACAATAGCCATGTTCCTCGTGCCCATCGTGCAAGCTTGTGTTTTTCTGATTCCCAGTGAGGTTTCCCAAAAGGGCTTTCTTCTCTAAACCCTCACTCGACACGTTCACTTCAGTACTATGCAAAGAACTTGTAGAATTGTTGGAATAACGGGACGAGAAGGGAAAACGCCATGAAAACGAAGAATTGGAATCAGATCCTTGGAGAAACACTTGAACCTTGGGAGCGGTGAGGAAAGTGTTGTTGAGCAAAAGAACGGTGAGAAAAACAAGAGAAACTCCAACGCCTAAACTGAACCCTGAAATCACCTTTCTCCTCTGAGACATAAAATGTTCCGAGAATGCAAGCCTCTTAGTAGAGTCCATTGGTGGCGATATCAAGAGCAAACGAAAGCAAAGCAAAGACATATAGAACAGAAACAACACCAAAAACTGCAACAACAAAAAGTGCTTTGTGGTTCATGGATCAAAGTAGTTTTGAATCAAAACAGTGATGCGTTGTTTTAAGGAAAAAGGGCTTTGAAAGTTGAACGTGGGCACGGACAGACTGAAAGAGTTGTGAAGTGTGCACCTTTGTAGGATGTAGCTGTTACTATTACTAGTAAACTACGAAGTGTCCCTTCTTCACTGTGCATTATATTCTACATTTTTTTTTCGTGTGTTCTTTCAACACAATTGCATCACTAACTTCACGTTAAAAAGCAAAATTAAATATCACCATGAAGTTGACTCTATTAAACTCAAACTAAAATTTGGGGATTAAAATTGCCTAGATTTTGTTCTCAATATTAGAAAACGACCTTTATAAATAGGAGAAAAAAATGTTGCATGTTCAACAAAAAAAAATGTATATCATTCTTCAACGTAATAATAATAATAATAATATATTAAGTAGACAATAAAAATGAATGCAAAATAATATTGTAGGAGTTTTTATATATTACCAAATCTCAATGTAAAAAATTGAATGAAAGAGTTTGTAAAATGTGTCTATTTATTTTTTATTTCCTTTCCTCAAGAGGAATGACATGAATTGTGTTTTTTAAGTTTAAATTTAGGCATTTATGATGATGATGATGATTAAAAATGGTGATTTATGATGGCACAAATAAATGCCATACTGATTTGGGAAAATGCAACATTGAAATCTTACTCTAGGCGATGTAATCTATGGATAACAAAATTGAGAAATGTTGGTGGTTAAGTACGTTGGTCAAAATGAGGATGCATTAATGTAGAAAGAGGTTGAGATTTGAATGGAAGGGTAGTTCGGTAACTACGCATTGGTTTGTTTGGTTTGTTCCGCGAAATGCAAAACAAATGTATAGGAATTAATGAAGTCTGTGTGACGTGGCGTGACCTAAAGCTACAAAAGATTGTGATGCGTAGGGGTAGCACCGACGAAGTGCATGCACTGTGATGACGACACGTGGCGAATATGGTACATAGAGTGTGGAGATTTATGATCTAGGGATGGGAGCACAAACACGCTAAGGTGCGTGCGCACATGCCAACCTTATCTTTTGTACTGAATTTTTTATTATATTTAATGTATTCTTATTATTAGTTAAAATTTATAAAAAATTTAAGAGAATTCTATTATATATAATATGAATCCATTAAAATTTATAATTTTTTTATGAAAATACATTAAAGTATATATTTTTCTTGTTTTTTAAGATTGAAATTTACATAAATTTAAATCTAAAATCTGAGGATTTTCAAAATATCTTTTTATTTTATTTTTAAATATGAAGTTTTTTTTTCAAATGCATATTAAACTATCACCAATGTGTAGTTGCGTCACATCACGTCCACGGTAACATGTTACCGATAGTATTAAATATTTTTTTATTGAGATAAATAAATAAATTATTTAATTAAAAATTAATATTAATATAATATTTTAATAGACAATTCTTTTAAAAATTAAAGGCGAAGAAAATGAAGTTATTGAAAAAATAATATTATATTAATTTAAAAGTTTCTAATTTTGTTTTATTTAATGTATCTTATTTGCTATTTTTTTCGTATATTTGTACTTAAATTTAAATTATTAGATTTTATGCTTTTATATTAATTTATTTATAATTGAATTTAAGTTTTGGACTTATTTTTATTTTTTATATAAAAAAGCATATTTTTGGTTAGGAAAAGGCATATTCTAGGGTGAGTTTTGTTAGGAAAAATAGTTAATTATGTTATCCATGTTTTTGTTAGGATAACGCGATTAAATATTTGTAGTCAAATTAATGATTTTATTTTTATTTGTATAATTTTGATTTGGATAAAATTTCATATGAGTATTTTTATACAAAAGTTTTATACGAGTCAGCCTTAACTTGATTATAAAATAAGCGTTTTAAAATTAAGATTTAATTTCACGAAATTTATTTTAAAATATTTTATCATAAACTCCATCTTGTTAAATTAAACTAAACTAGTTAATTTTAATAATGAATTAAACTGAACTATTTTCATGTTTAATTAATTATTTATATTTAAAAAACTAAATTGAACCATTATAATTTATAAATTATAGTATTTTTGTACTAAAACTATACCAAAAATTGATACTTTAATTAATATACAAATTTTTTTACAAAAATTATTATAGTTATTAAACTCTCTTTTTTTCTAAACACAATACTTCAATAGTCAACAAAATAGACGTTTGAAAAATTATAAAAATATAAGTAAAAAAAGTAACGAAGATAAAATTTTACATACGTTTCAAACTAGAAACTACAAACTAATGAGTTTACCTGAATTAAAGTATAAGAAAATAAATTATATTATAATAATAGTTCTTCTAAGCTATATTAAATGAATTATTTATATTCAAAAATTGGTTAAAGCACTTATTTTAAAAGATAATATATAACATATTTCAAGACACAAAAATTATTACCTTAAGTTAGTGTAAAATTAGATGGTACATTATCAAAGGGTTAGTATAACTTTATAATGTCTTTAGTATTATTCTTCATACGTTATTTTTTCCACATTTATGATTAAAAAAGATACTTGTGAAAGTAAAGATAAAATCTCAAATATCATCAAACATACATTCTAAACAAAATAAAAGAAAAAAAATGAAGAAAAAAATATTACATTTACTGATCTTTTTAATTTAATATTACCCTCTCTTTAATTGCTTTTGCTAAAAAGAAATAAGCTTCATTTTAATTTATTTATAATAATTTTTATTTTATCTTAGAAGTGTGTACAAAGTTTAAAAATAAGTTATTGTAAAAATAATACTTGGCAAAACAAATAAAAAAGATGCTTAATATTTAATTAAAAATGTTTGTGACCCATACTTATTATAAGATTTGATTTAATAACATCTGGGAAAACAAATAAAAATAATACTTAATATATTAATTAAAAATGTTTTGTGACCCAACTTGTTGTAAGATTTGATTTTAATAATATTTGGGAAAACAAATAAAAATGATACTTAATTTGAAAAGTTTGTGACCCATACTTGTTATAAGATTTGATTTTAATAAAACTTAAAAAGTTAGAAAAGATTATGTAAAATCGATAATTGAGACAAATCAATGTACAAATAATTAATCTCTTGATCTCATTCTAAACATATTTGTTGTCTGTCAATATATTTTGTAAACAAAAAAAAATCTTTAAGTACACAAAATTATTAAAAAGAATCACCCTTCTTGTATTTTCTCTATAAAAAATATTTTTAATTTAGCTAATTACATTATACATTTTTAAATGGTTTTTTCTCTTCAAAAATTAAAATAATGTACTTATCTAAACTAATTCTCATTACAGGCACAAGACAACAAGAATTTATCATTCTCATTTCACTAAAATTTATATACTATATTAATAAATTCATTTACTAATGAATAAAATTGTCTATATAAGCAATTGTATGTAATAAAATAATATAAATATAAAAGTATTAACATGAAAGGAAATAAATAATAAATGAAAAATACACTTTTGACCACAGATATGAGCATAAAAGGTGTTGTATTATTTTTTTTTACCAATGTAATTTTTAATTTATTGATATGCATATGCATTCTTCATGTTGAAATTTTTCTTAACAGATATCATTTGACAACGTATATTTAATTTGTTGATAAAAAAATACCAATTACAAATACAAAATAATTTACGGTGTTTGAAATATGGATGATGGTTGTATCTGGAGATGTGTGTTACGATGAACGTGTGATTTTATTGATTATGATAGTTGAGTAATGGAGTGTGGGTTAGGTTTGCATTTGAGTGTGGAAGAAGATCATCACATCATTTGCTAATTCATATCATTGTCAACCTTCTACTAATTCTCATTTACAACCCATATTACCATCATAAAATGACTAAACCTTTATGGCTTTTCAGGTAATATTTTCTTGTTTTTATCGATGAAGTTCAAATCAAACTGCAATACCATATGTTTAATTTAAAACTCAAACCTTAAAATCATGAATTTGTTTTCTTATCAAACGAGACTCAATTAATTCACGTGATCTAACCTACTTTATCACGTCTAAATGGAGTAAAATGTTTGTATAATATGAAATTTTTTACTTTTGAATATTTATAATTAAAAACGTGTACGAATCTGTTTATAAGATAAATAAATAAATAAATAAAGCCCACAGAGAGATTTCGGATAACGTACTGGACCTTTTCTTTAGAGTATAAGCTTACCAAAAGGCCTTCAATCGAAACACTCGATATAGAATACATACTGGGTTTCTTATTGGGCTTAATACTAATGGACTCTCTCTCTGTGACGCTCATGCCTCAACCGTTCACGCGTCATGACTAGTAATTTGTTCATTATGATTAGTACTTTAGCTCAATAAATAAATAATTATGATTCAAATTTATAGTAAAAAATAATTAAAAAATAAATAACTAGTATTTCAGATTTATAATAAAAAATACAATTCAAATATAAGATTACTATAATTTGATAAAATTAAAAATAATTACACATGATGACAACTTAATAAGAATATATATTTAAAACGATAATATATATATATATATATATATATATATATATATATATATATATATGGTTAGCTTAAAAATTAGCAACATAAATACTAATTAAAATAATCATATCTATTTCTTAATTAGTGAGTAAAATAAAATGTATTGGTTTTGTTGAAAAAAGTTCACTAAATCATATATATATATATATATATATATATATATATTAAAAATTATAAGATAATTAACTTAATTTTATAAAATTAAATTAATAATATGAATATTATAATTATTTATATATTATAATGTTGTTTTATTTTTAACAAACACGAAATTTTTATTATATAATTTTAACATAATTAAAAATATTCTAAAATTATATTAAAAATTATAAGATATTTAATTATAAAAAATTGACTTAA